CCCTCCTCTTTCAATCCTCTCCATCAGTTAATTACAGATGGAGACGTGCTGGGCGGCCGTCCGCGCCTTTTTTTTTAAATTAAAAAAAGTTACTAGTCGCTGCTTTAATTAATCATATCAAACAAAAAGACGCCGCTAACTTGGACTGGTCTGGATATAGCTGTGTATTTTTTTAATAGGTGGTGCTGTAACTTTGCATAGCAAACCCCACCATTGATAGCTTTTGCGAATAATAGTCTTATTACAGCTCAAAAAACATCACAAAGGCCCACGCAAAGGGGCGGTCACGCAAAGAGGCGTCAAGTAAACTCTGGCAACCTACAACGTAGCAGCTCACGTGGGTTGATGATAACCAAGAACTTCTCTTTAGATTTGTGGTTTCTGAGATAACTCTTCTTTTTAACTTTTAAAATGTCACCAAACCCCTCTTTAATTTTTAGGATTCTTTTAAAGGAAAAAAAAGAAGCCTCCTTCTCTTTTCGATATTTCTCTCTAAAACCCCCTAAAATAGGGTTATCTGAGAAATGCCACTAGCAAAAATATCTCCACGCATAATGCCACTAGCAAAGTATCCCGGTGCATAATCTTGTCTGCCCAGGTCAAAATTGCAGTTAATACCGTTAAGAAATTTTTTGTGGAAGATATTGATAGTTTAAGGGGGCTTTCTGAAACCCCTTTGTGTAGTTTGAAAGTTAAAGAGGGTTATCTGAGAAATGCCCAACTTAACAGTTTTTTCTAAAATTTATATGCTAAATACTCACAGCAGTTCTTACTAGAAACACATATTAAAAAAATATGTATTTAATAGTGTTACTAACGGTACATTTATGTACATTTTTTCAAAGTATGAAAACTCATCGAGGGCCATGGTAAAAGATTTTTAATAATTAATGTTGTAGTGAAACCATTTTTCAGAAATCATCGACCCGCTACTGGGTATAATTAACTTATAATTAACTATTTTCAGCACCAAATATAAAACTTCTCAATTTATGGAAAAGAAAAATAACGCAGGATAACACATTCAATAGAAACGATACGTAAGCATGTAGCAGACCTCTTGCATCAGGAGCTAATGAAGGTTTTTTGCCAATGAACACTAAATATGTTTCATTCGTAAGACAACAGTAAAAATGTTGTACAAGATGTAGTAATGTATATTATCCAGGACCGCTTTCATTATAAATTTCTATAATATGAGGTCTGTTTCTTCTTTCTGCTCGGTAGAACTTTATCAGTTTCTTCAGTTTTATAAGCTTACATCCTGGAGTAACCTCTGTAGCCTTCATACTGCTCCATGAACTCATCATTGAATTTCTTGAAGCTTGCCATGATGGCAGGCATTTCTTCCTCTGCTGGCAAGATGGTTGTTCTTAAATGGAAAACCCTATTCAAAGCGAACGAGAATTAGTTGAATCAATGTTTTTATTCATCAAAATTTGAAAATGGAAAGATGCAGAAGAAATTATGCAATATATGTATTATCATCAAAGAGAACACAATTCATTGAGATATTCAACTGCATTGAGAAGGCACGTTCAGTTCATAACTTTACATCTTAAAGATGATACTGAAGTTCCATCAGATAACTAAATTACCATAAATTCGTTTGAAATTTTGATCATGTATGGGATTCAAATTATTCGCCTAAGAGATAGCATTACATTACTTCACATTTACACAGTGCTTAGGAAAATCCTTGGACATGCATGTGTCAAAATTCTAGGTAGACCAATAGATACCAGTAACGCAGCAAGCAAGCATCAGTAATTAGGCAAAAGAATAACATACACTACTGGGACATTATATCCTAAGGTCATTATTACCTGTTATTGAGGATTCTGATATTTTCAGGTATGTGCGTGCTCGTCTCTTTGTGTGTATATATATATATATATAGGGAAATCTCCTACTATGACAAGGATATTCATTAATCTCATTTATATATATATATATATGGACATTCATTTCACAGAAAGTAAAAAACAAAACAACTGTTATTGTCCCAAGATATGAGGAAAATACAACTCTTCAGTTTATTACATTTGTGGGTTTCCACCTTAAAATCTAAATTAAAGATTCTTTATTGAGTTGCAGTGCAAGACATGTGAATCCTAGTTCTAGAGTTTTATCTTCTAATCCTGAATTTGACTAAAAGAGTCGATCGTAAGTGAATTCATATAAAAAGATTGTAAAAGTTGAAACTCCACGGAACTAAGCATCTCTATTGCAAGTAACCAAAAATGCCATATTGGATTTACAATTCTATGACTCTAAACTTCATGAGTTTAAAGTCTATAGATCAAATAGGGATTCATTGGTGTAGTAATCCAAAGTTACAAGCAGTAAGTATTTACAGCTCGTCGACTTAGGTTCCAAAGGGTGATGAAAGAAAAATCCCATGTGCACGCATCCTAATTTCATAACTAACCAAATTTGCAGATTACAATTGAGCATTTTTCTAATTTGGTAACTAACCAAACTAGCGGATTACAATTGAGCATTATTTGAAATACTTACCCTTCTTTCTGACCAAAACCTGAGCCTGGAACAGTGGAAATGCCTGTTGCCTCCAAGAGCTTGAGGCAGTAGAAAACATCAGGAACCTTGCCCGCCTTCTTGGCAGCTTCTATTGCTTTTGGCGGCAACCTTATTTGTGGGAATGAATACATGGCTCCTAAAACATTTTCAACATACTTTTCAACATTAATGCATCCTGAATGTTTAAGAAACAAATTACTCAGAGAAGTATCTGAAGTGTTTAGTAATTACCTTCAGTAAAATTACAGACTACATTTCTGCAACTGTTAAATCCATCAGTCATTATTCTTGCTCTTTTTCTTAGAGACCCGAGGACAGCTTTGCTGCATATGAACAAAACAGCATGCAGTTAGAGAGCAACACCAAAGGATAAGCACCCTAAATCTGAAAATTCGGGCTCTTCTTGACAGGTGTCTTTAGTTAGAAAGGAAAATTTCAATCAACGAACTCAACATTTGAACATTATATATCTAAAAAAATAAATTTGTTCTATGCCTAAACCCCATAATATGAATTCTATGAATGGTGACTTTGGTGAAGACTGCTAAAAGGTCCCAAAAGCAATCTTACGACCTATCTGTCCACTGTAGCAATGCTCACTTTTAAAAAAAGTAAGAATGATGACATGAATAATCTTAATAAACAGATAATTCAGGAAGAAATATTCTCAAGAAAAGTCAATCAGGACAAAAAATCATATATAGATCACAAGCACTTATATGAGTTATATCAATATGTAGCATGAACAGTTTTGATAGCAAGGAATAACCGTTTTCCATGTTTCAATTATCAAGATCAAATTTTCTCGACAAAAGCTAATTTTTCTATGTACAAAACCTAAGAATAGTCAAAAATCAAATAAGATCCCTGTGCAATTATATGTACACTCTGGGCACTTCTGTGATTCTTAAAAGGTATAGATGTAGAAAAAGTACCATAGCATTTGGAGGAAAAAAGGAATACACTGAAAGCTAATATTGCTGGTTATTCTTCTTACCTCTCCTCAGTGAACTTCAAGTACGAGATATCTCCAGGCTTGGGAGGATTAACCATCAGCCCTAGCTGCAAGGCAAAATAGTTTTTTGCCTCGTAACAATCTTAAGGTTGAATAAAGCAATTCGTTGTGACCAAAGAAACATTACACTAGGATTTAAATCAGAACTACTATCTATTTAACAAATACTTTAGCATCTCACCTTATCTAGGTTGCAAGAACAGTTAAGAATTATAATGAATACATATTCACTTACAAAGATTTGCCCAGGAACGTTCGGACTGAGAGAAACGGATGCAACTTTATAAACCTCATCTACCGTCTGTCCAGGTTTAAAGAATAATTTGGTATTAATACTTTCAACAAATGATTGGAATTAAAAATTCACAGATATGAACTTACTAGCATACCCAGAATGATAATTTCAAATACAAGTTTTAGAAAATCAGAAAAATGCAAACATGTAGAAAACAAGAATTCTACAAAGAAATCCTTGACCATCAAAAGCAGATATAAAATGCAAAGTTATATAATATACCTCTGGAGGAAGGTTAGTCATCTCAAAATATCCTCCACGCTGTCCACATTCACCCCAGTATCCTTTTGAAACTGTATGGAAAGACACGAGCTGGACCTCTTTACTTATTGGCAGACCCATGTCCAACAATATCTAGCAGAATTAAAGAATCAATATTTTAGTTTTTACATTGAGACATCTAAAAATTAGAACTTACTGAATTGTCAGAAAAATGCTACTTTGGTCGAGATATATACCTTTTTAGCACTTATAAAAGGCCGTTCATCCTGATAGATATTTTGCTGATAAACTTCATCTGCTAGGAGGACCAAGTTTTCATACAAACAGAATCTCAACAGCTCTCTCAGATTGGCTTCACTAAGGCACTGACCAGTTGGGTTGCCTGGATTTATAATCACCATTGCCCGAACCTGGTCACAACATAAGATGATTTACTGGTTGAATAAGGTGACTGTGCAGAACCATAGATGGCATGCTAAGATATTGACAATAGAACGGTGAAGATACAAAGTACAGAGGCATAGGGATGGTATGCTGGAAATGATTGATGCAATACATATCTGTCGCAGATCATAAGAAAAGATTATTTGAGTCTGGCTGAAATCAAACTACAAATAGAACAGAAAATAGACTGCCCTCTGGATATCAATGTGTGCAAGTGGTGTGTGCCTGATGCACATGCATGTATGTGTGGTGAAACCATTGATGCACATGCACTTCCTTGACGAAACCATTACTTTGGTCTTATCAATTGCTCTTATTTGATCAAGCAGTACCTTGTGCACTTGATTTCATAAATCAAAGGGTTGAACTCAAAAAAGTTAAAAAAAAGAAAGAAAAAAGAAAAAAAGAAAGAAAGAAAAAAGAAAGAAAACTGTAACTGGTAACATCCTGATGGAATGCTGATTTCAACTTTGAAAGATAACGCTAGTTTCATCCCCCTCCCAGCCTCCCAAGCTTTGATCATAAAAAAGGTGAAGCTATATATATGAAAAAAATGTATATGAGCTGACAGCCCATTTTGCAAAATGGGCTGCCAATTCAATGCCATGTGAGCCCCCTTGCTAGTCACATCAGGGTGGAGCTCACATGGCAATGAGCTGGCAGTTCATTTTACAAAATGAGCTGCCAGCTCATACCCAGTATCCTCTGTATATGGAAAAATGTATATGAGCTAATAGCTCATTTTACACAATGAGTTGCCAGCTCAATGCCATGTGAACCCCCTTGCTAGTCACTCACTTATATATAGTAACGCAGCGCGGAAGTGATAAACCTCCGAATCCACCAAAGGGTGTTCTCTGAATCCACAAAAAACGATCTTCGAATACACGAAGAGACAACCTCGAATCCATGAAGTAATAGAAAAGAGAATTTTATTGATAAAAATGATCTAATTCTTTGGGGTTACATGCCTCTTCTTAAATAGAATAACAAACAAGACTCCTAATAAGACTAGAATTATAAAGAAATAGAAAGTACCAAATCCTACCCTAAAAACACTCTCTATAATAGAGGAAACAAATCGTGAATCAAAATTGAATTTGTTTCCTAATCTAATTTGACTCCGACATTGAATTTAATTTCCTAATATAAATTGACTCTAACTTTATTACTACAAATAAACTAAAGGCTGATTATTTCTGAAATCCTACCAAAAACGGGTGTTATTGATGGTATTGTGGGATTTTGCAAAACTAATCGACTTCATCTCGTCGAAATATGCAATTTTCATATACAATATGTTAGAATCTACCTTCCGGATTGGGAGATACTGTTATTTCTCTGCGGTCAGTCAATAATTAATCTGTATCCGCATTTGACTCGTGAAGGTCCCACTTCTTTATGAATTTGATCGTTATGCGTCCTACATCATATAGTCATTCGATGTGCTACAATATCTGCTACATAAGTATATAGTACTTTTGCACATTTAATGAAGGGTTAATTGCGAACAAAATCCCTATAGTATCATTCAATTGCAAATAGAGCCTCTGAAGTTCTATTTATTGTGAATAGACCCCATGTTGTTCTACTTATTGAGAATAGACCCCTTGTAGTATCGGCCCAAGTGTGATACACCCCCTTTGTGAATTTTTGCAACTATTTTAAAAGGAAAAATAATTAGCAGTGGGGTGTCTATCCTCATCAATAGAATTATAGGGGTTCTATCTGCCTCCTCAAACATTTTTAACGATTTTAAGAGGAAAAAAAATGCACTCACGGGGTCTATTCGCAAAAATTAGAACTACAAAGGGTCTGCTCGCAATAAATAGAACTCCTGGGGGTCTCTTTGTTTGGGTGATATTACAGGAGGTCCGTTCACACTTAACCCTTTAATGAATTATAATTCGGTAATGCACTGCATCCTTAGAATATTCCTCCTAGAGCAATGCAAAAGTAATAAAAGTTCATAGCTAAGTTTCTCAGGTGCCTCATATAAGTATATAACTATACAGTAGCAAGAGATAAAAGGGAAACCACAAGTTAAATAAAGTACTTACAGTTATTCCTTTTGATCGTGCTTGCATGACTGACTGCCGCACATTATTCAAGTCAAGGCCCCAGTTTGATTCCTCATCTAAATAGTAGGGAACAAGGGAACCGCCATATAATTGTATTGTAGCAGAATAAAGTGGATACTGTGGGACAGGAACGAGAATCTGCCAATATAAAGATATTATATTTTGCGATGTCAGTCACGTCATAAAGGAGTAGTAATATAAATATCAACTAAATTTGGTCCTTTAAGTTCTCTATAAAATAAAGGCTGAAATCCATTCTTGATTGCCATACCCCATCCTTCTCATTTCTGATAATGGTATTAAGCATCTGCATAACACCTTTACTTGCACCATCAGTTAGAAATATAAGATCTGGATTACTGCAACCAGTAAGTGCACATGATCAGTGATCAACAAATGAAGTTCTATGTGCTACTGTCTCAGCAACCCGAAATACCTCTTAAAATTTATCCAATTACCTAGGGTATCCATCACGCCTTTCAATGAATTCAGCAACTTCCTTCCTTATTCCAGGCAGACCTCGAGAATCACTATATGCACCTGATTGTTAAAGAAGCGAATAGATTAATTCCACATACATTCAGCAGCACTATCGTTCTTCCACGTTACTTTAATGTTTAAATAACAGAAGGATATATACACAAAAATCTTGTTAACTGGGCCCCGAAAGATAGGATTAGATTGAACCCATTGCATTCATAATTCAACAGCAAAACCTTTATCCAATAATTAGGTTTACTATACGAATCTTTTCTCTCCAGTCATTTCTTTATGAAGGACAGATACTACATGATCATACAAAGGTTTTTGTGTGGAGAAGCAATAAAAATGTGAAAGAATTTGAATAGGATCAACTTTCAAATTTGCATCTGCAGTTGTCCAATAAATTTAAAGAAGAAAATGTAGACCCATGTTGTTTGAAGCTTGGTGGTTGTGTAGAAAGATAAAGAACACGATGGATGCCGCAAATATGAGAAATCGTAACGTGGAGGTTAAGTTCTGCAAACTAAGGAATAAATTGTTGATGGTACATTAAAACTTCTAGAATATATCAGATGTAGCACCCAAACTAGACATTAAAATCATTTTAAACTCCCAGGAGAACTAAATGTGAAGCTTGAGAATAGACTGACGGTGGGTAGAAGATATAACACTTGACAGGGGGAAATAACTAAAAAGAAAACGCTCGCAAATGACAAAGTTTGCCTTTTCTGTAAATCGAAAAAGAAAATGCAAAGATTAAAAAAGAAAGCCCCTCTGCATAGTTTAGTTGCATCAAATGTGCAAGCACATGAAGTTATTACCTAATCCACCAGAAGTCAGTGAAAGGTAATGCTTAGCTCTTGCAATGGCATCAGCCGGGAATACCAATCCAACATTAGGATCATCTAATAAAAATGGAGCTTGGCACAGTGCTACCACCTGCAGAAAAATCTTTATAAGAACAACAGCGATGGAAAGCTAATATTCAGGTCTTTGTAATTGAGGGTGTGCCACTACATGGGTTATTATCCTTATAGCAGTTTTCTCAAGCATGTCAGATGTTTTGACGAAACAGGCAGAAAATCCAAAAATTAAGTATTCTTATCTGATAAGAAACCAAGGGAAAAGTGTAGTTGAAAGGAAAACAAGACCACTGCTGCCTTCATGGACATTGAGCAAAGGTTATTTCTGAAGGTATTACCTGACGAGGGAATGTCAAAGGCTTCTGTCCTAAAGCATGAGGATTACCAACATTCGTAAAGATAATCTGCAACAGCCATTCAAAGAATGTGGAAGTGAAAAATATTGTCAGAATAGGCCCATTTGTACAACTCGAAAACTATAGTTGTACGAATCAAGTTAAACAAAAAATCTTCTCTATACCACAGAAAAGAAGCTTGAGAGTTGTGTTCTATAATTTTGCAAAAGATAAGTTGCAACTGATTAAGGATAAATATCTATGCCATTTAAGTTACTGACACTTGATAAAATGGTCCCATGAAGTTTCATCTCATAGCCACGACAAAAAGAAGTTATAGGCACAGCAAATAACAACAATGTTCTGCTTACTACTACATTAGAATATTGGATGTTACTGTAATCAACAAAGCTTAACAAATGTTGTGTCATCTGAAACTTGTTCATAAAATCCTGAGTCCCATTATATCATACCAAGTTAACCAACAACCCATTATGTCATGAACTAGTTCCCTATGCTGACATTTTTAAAGTACACAATCCTCGAGATTAGTGAACATAATCTCATCTTATTTTCAGTGACAATTTTAACAATCAATGTACTTTTGGTTTCTCTTTATTCACATACTAGACTGTCTAATAGTAAGAATATTTTTGTTAGCATTTGAAATATTAACTGCTGTATCATGCTTTAAAAAAAATGTTGCATGATGCTCTACAAGATCACATCCACTTTATCATCAAAATAGATATTTTGAACTGAATTTCCCATTGACAAAGAAATGGAAATAGCACTAGCTGCTCCTGCCCCGCTGTTGCCCAAAGCCATTAGAAAGCTGTTGTAGTGTGATAATGAAAATATTACGTGGATGGCAGACGTTATGAGGTACCCTAATCAGTCAGTAATTTTACCAGAGCTTTAGAAGTATGTGTAACTACTGTTCTGAACATGCAACAATGGAGATCATGACCAATCTAGGATCATGTAAATGGCTGGGGCTAGAGGAACAAAACCGTAGCAGGACGGGTGCAATGAGCCCAAAGTGACTCAAGAAGAATTCATATCTAAAAAACAAGTTACATGTGTGTGTCCTTTTCACTTGGAAGTGGAATGAGGGGTTTGAAGGGATAAATCACCAGGAAAAAAGAACAAGTGTATAGTCATCCAGTGAAGTCCAAAAAATACCCGAGATTTATCATTTTTTCACTCAATATCAATCTGATAAAAGCTTAATAGATAAAAAAGTTGTATAATATGTCGCATCACGATTCTTCATTGAGAATTAGAGGGCATAGTATGTTTCCTTTAGAATTACTACAGGATGATTGGGCGGACAAGTGCTTATGTGGTAATATGGTATACAGCAGTTGTATAGCGCTGTTGACGTTAAAAGGCAATTTCTAAGGGTGCTTTAAGATTGGTTCAAGATATAATTTTGTAGTGTTTGGCAATCAATAAACAAGTTAGTTAATACAAGTATGGACATGAACACAAGGTGTTGCACACATGCAAAATCTAGAAGGACAAGCAATCAAGCATATTTCTTCTGGATATGTGCGATTGACTCGGAGGAGATAGTCCTTTTGACAAAACTGAATGGAGAATAAGATTCATGTAGTCGGGACCTAACAATTTAAGATAAAATGTACTGTTGCTGTTGTTGTTTTATGTTTGTTTGACTCATAAGCATATGTACACAAGGGCGGAGCTAGTGCATAAAAGGTGGTGTCAAGTGACACCACCCTAAATCATATAAGAACATGTGAGCTTATGATGTAAATTGACGCCCTTAAATTATTTGAGTATTGAGTAGTGACCCGTTAACTCTTAATCGGCCAAATATAAAGATAAAATAACCCTAGGACCCATAAACTTAAATGGCCCAATTCACCACATATCAAAGACCTACCATCAAACTTTGGAAAAGAAATAAAAAAGATCCATAGATTTACATGAAAAACAATGTATTTAGTGGTAATCCAAATGAGGTTATTATGAAACGATTTCAAAACATGAAGAAGTGTAGGAGTCCATTGTATGAAAAGAAATAAAAAAGATCCATAGATTTACATGAAAAACAATGTATTTAGTGGTAATCCAAATGAGGTTATTATGAAACGATTTCAAAACATGAAGAAGTGTAGGAGTCCATTGTATGAAAAGAAATAAAAAAGATCCATAGATTTACATGAAAAACAATGTATTTAGTGGTAATCCAAATGAGGTTATTATGAAACGATTTCAAAACATGAAGAAGTGTAGGAGTCCATTGTAT